TTTCCTTGGCCACCCTCTCTCCCAAAAGGGTTATTGTTGCTTTGACCCCATTTCCAAAAAGTACTTTGAATCCATGGATGTCTCCTTTGAAGATGTTCCTTTCTTTTTTGCTTCTCCTCAGGGGAGAGTTCAAGTGAGGAGAAACAAAAATAGGTTTTGTTGCCTTCTCCTCTTGATCCTCCTCAATTTCGGGTCTTTCGTAGACAGTGGTACAAAAGCCAAGGCCAGGGTCAACAAAGTTCAATAGACACAAAGCATCCTGAAGTTCTGCAACCCATGCCATCGGACTCTCAAGGGTTGAATCCATCACCACATCCAAGTACTATCATTCCAGTTGATATTCCTAAACCCATTGATATTGGCACTTCCAATTGTAATCTAGATCTTCCTATTGCTAAGAGGAAGAGTGTCAAATCATGCACCACACACCACCCAATGGCTCATTCATTATCCTTTGAGAGTGTTTCACCCTCTTTCCGTGCTTTCCTCTCTATTATTGATAGTGTTCCCCTTCCTAAGAGTGTTACAGAAGCTTTACTTGTTCCTGAGTAGACAGATGCAATGAAGGAGATCAATGCCCTTCAAAAAAATGGCATGTGAGAGTTGGAAGATCTTCTTGAGGGAAAGGAACCTGTAGGGTGCAAATGGGTATTCTCTGTGAAACATAAAGCATATGGCACAGTGGAAAGGTACAAGGCCCAGCTAGTTGCAAAAGGTTTTTCACATGTATATGGAGTTGATTATGCAGAAACCTTTGCCCCTGTAGCAAAAATGAATTATATTCGAATACTTCTCTCTTTAGCAGCAAATCTAGATTGGGAGCTTCATCAACTGGACATTAAAAATGCCTTCCTGAATGGTGATTTAGAAGAAGTGTACATGACCCGACCTCCAGGTTTTTGTACTAAGGGAAATGAGCAAAGAGTCTGCAAATTTAAGAAATCTCTATATGGCCTAAAACAGTCCCCAAGGGCCTGATTCAATAGGTTCTACAAGGCAGTCCAACAAATGGGCTTTAAGCAGTGCCAGTCTGATCACACACTCTTTGTGAAGAGAGAACAAGAAAGAATGGCAGCCTTGATTGTTTATGTCAATGATATTATTACCACCGATGATTAGGACTTAGAGATACAAAGATTGAAGAGATTCTTAGCCACTCAGTTTGAAGTGAAGGATCTAGGGYCTTTATGTTTATTTCCTTGGTATTGAAGTTGTCTGCTTTAATCAAGGTATCTTCATCTCCTAGAGGAAATATACCCTGGATCTCTTGAAAGATATGGGGAAGCTTTAAGCAAAACCTAATAACACTCCTATAGAAGTAAACCATAGGCTTGGGGACTACAATGATGAGCCCATAGCAAACACAAAGCAGTATCAAAGATTGGTGGGCAGACTTCTCTATCTATCTATGACAAGACCTGACAWTGCATAAGCAATGGAAGTCCTTAGCCAGTTTATGCATGCTCCCCAAGGCCACACACTTAGAGGCAGCAAACAGAGTTCTTGGATACCTGAAGAAATTCCTTGGGACAGAGCTCCTATTTGAAAAGCATGGGCATATGAGAATTGAGGTTTACACTAATGATTGGGTTGGTTTTATGGATGACAGAAAATCCACTAGTGGCTATTGTGCCTTTGTTGGGGGAATCTTGTTACTTGGAGGAGTAAGAAACAAAGTGTGGTGGTCAGATCTAGTGCAGAAGCTGAATATGGGGACATGTCTCATGGTGTGGCAGAACTACTATGGATAAAGAATCTCTTGGGTGAATTGGGCTTTCCTCTCAGTGATCCTATGTCACTCTATTGTGACAATATCGCTGCTATCAACATTGCAGCCAATCCTGTTCCCCATGATAGAACTAAACACATAGAGGTTGACAAACACTTCATAAAGGAAAAATTGGAAAAAGGAGAAGTTTGCATTCCCTACATCAGCTCTAAGGAACAACTTGCAAACATCCTTACCAAAGGATTAAACTCCTTGTGGCACTATAATCTGTAACTAGTTGGGGATGATTGATATCAACGCCCCAACTTGAGGGGGAGTGATGTAATTTTGGTTATGTGCCGCAAGGACACTTTTGTCTTTCCGTCTTTCTTTATTATTGTATGGTCGCCCTAACATATAAATAGAAGGGCTGGCACCCCCAGCTCAAATTTTCTTCAGACTCCAATCTTCTCTTCTCTCTTCTTCTCTTCTCCTTCACTATTCTTTTCAGATCAAACTCAAACACTATGGAAATACTATGAAATATGTCAAAATATGCAATGATATTCTATGAAATGCTAAAAGAAGCATTAATACACCTTTCTAGACTAGTATCTTCCTTGATGCATCTCTTTTTATTCTAATAAATAATTAGAATTAAATCATACACAAAATATAAACCATTTAATATTTTTATTTGTTTTTTGATGAGAAATAGTAACTTTCAATATAAACCATTTATTACTAACTTTCATCAATAATACATCATACAAACATTTAATATTTTTATTTTTTATAGAAAAAAATTTATTTATGCATTTTATTTTTTTCTGATAAACCATTTATTACTAACTTTCATCAATAATACATCATACAAACATTTAATATTTTTATTTTTTATAGAAAATAATTTATTTATGCATTTTATTTTTTTCTGATAAGAATTAGTTTGAGTAGTATTTTTATTATTATAAAAAGTATCTCTTTAGTTTTGTTTTTCATGAACATTTTATCTCATATATTAACTTTCTTACTATTTGTTCATTTTTTATTGCTTTTATAAAGACGGTCTACAATATTACCATATAAACCATTAATTAAATCACATAAACCATTTAATAATTTTATTATTATAAAATATTTTATTTATGCATTTTATTTTATTCTATTTTAACAAGTATTTAGTTTAATCGATTGTTTTTTACTTGTGCTTTTTTATAAAAAAATTTATATTTTTTTCAAATATTAACTTTCATTTTATTTATTCACTTCTTATTACTTTTATATAAGGTCGGTCTACAATTTACTACAGACCTTCATATACTACAACCAATGTTTTAAAAACCAAGCCAAACGCTGAACCGTTTTTGCATCCAAGTCAAATCAGTCAAATTGCAACACACACACACACACACACACATATATATATATAAAAATATATATATGTATGTATATATACATACATTGATAACATAGATATAGATGTATGTATGTATGTATGTATATAAACATGTATTATATCAATAAAATAATATAGAATTATACTCCGATTGTAATATATGTATATAAAAGCATTATTTTATGATTAATTTATATTTTGTTTCATTTTTCATTTTTTATTTATAAAAACGCTAAAAATTTGAGATTTGAGGCCAAAAGGGGGGTTTTGTTCCAAAATGGCAAGACATCTTTGAGTCCTTGATACCAAGGTTTTCGAACCGTCATTGACCCAGACAATCGGATCATTTGACCCAGGAACCGTCCAGGCAACCGGTTTTATTTCACCCTTAACCTATTTTGTGGTCAAAAACGTTAACTTGGTCAACAACCCAATGATCCAATTGGTTGAACCGTCAACCCATTTGACTCGAACAACAGTTTGTCTTTTTAATTTTAAATTTTTAGTTTTATTTTTTTAATTTTTAATATTTTTACTTGGAACGATCCATCTATTCAAACCAGATGATTGAACCGCTAACCCGAAAACCAGTGGCCAAAGCGGTTCGAGTTCTGGGTCAATTTTTAAAACATTGCTTGATACACATAAATCTCAAAAAGTTACCTCAAATCGATATAAAGATCACCCCAATCATACAACTGAGTGCAAAGTCAGGGCCATTACTTAATTACTTTTTTATTGTTTTGTTATTTCTCTATTTAAGTATTTTATTATTATTATTTAACTATTTTATTAYTATTTTATCATTTTCTATTATTTTTATTATTTCATTACCATTATTTTTATTTTATAATATTAATTTTATTCCAAAAATAATGAGCAACATCAATTTATTAATGTTAATTATAATTAACATAAATATCTAGCCTCATACTCAACTATGGGGGCAAAATTGTAAAGTAACCATATTTCATTCAGCATTCAAGTTTCAGTTTAACATTCTCTAATTCAAATATCAAAATAAAGCCAAAAAACAACAATTTTCAAAGTAGTTTTTTCAAGCTGTTTTTGCTCTTTAGACATCAGGCTTCAGACCAACAGAACGACAACTAAGGCTCCTGTTGTTAGGCTAATTTATTTGTTTTTTATAGTTGTTGTTAGTGTGCTATCAACCTTGGATGTTGTCAGCTTGTTTTTTTTTATTAGTTTTTTTATTAGTGTGTGCCGCCAGGGACATATTTGTAATCTCCTACTTCTTTTATGTTAAGTTAATTTGGGCAGGTGTTGTGGATGATAGAAAGTTCACAAGTGGGTACTGCACATTTGTGAGAGGTAACCTGGTGACATGGAAAAGCAAGAAACAAAGTGTGGTAGCAAGGTCAAGTGCTGAAGCAGAGTATAGGGCTATGGCACATTAGGGTTATTTATTTGTTTTTTATAGTTGTTGTTAGTGTGCTGYTAGCATGTTCCTTTCTTCCTTTTTTATTAGTTTTTTTATTAGGGTGTGCCACCAGGGGCATATTTGTAATCTCCTACTCCTTTTATGTTAAGTTAATATAAATAAGAAGTTGGGTGCTGCCAACAACACTTTTTGACTCTCAATCAGATCTCTCCTTCTTCCCTTCTCTTCTCTTCTCCTCTCTCTTCTCTCCTCTCTCTTCTCTCTCTCTCCAAGAAAGAAAACAGCTCCATTCATAAATGGTACTAAAAAGAAAAAACTTTGAAGCACATAATTCTATTTTAAATATTAACATCCAGGATGCACAACATATCACAAAATAAAATCATATATATATATATATATATATAAAACATTGTAAGACAATAATCAAACAAAATCAACACTCAGAATCGGAACTTCAGATTAGGAATATCAAAGTCTGGTTTACTCACGACTGAATATCCATTGCGTGTCAAATCATCCAAGGTTTGTCGCAAGTTCTGTAAAACAAGCATTCAATCAACATAAAGAAAGAAGCAAGCAGCACCAGCATTCATGAAAAAGCAAAGGAAAAAACAGGATTAAGTAAATAAGAAATAAACCACAATAGGAATAAGMATTGAATACAAAAAACAATCTAAACTACACCAGATCAAAAAGAATAATGACAATTGAAATCTGATAAAATAATAGTAGTATAAAATTAAAAATAGTACAATCATCCTTGGATAGAGCAGCGATTACTACCCCATCTCTAAGGTATTAAACATTTTACAAGCAAGCCCAACACAATTGATTTCTAGTAACCCCTTACTTGCCTAAAGTGTCAGCCATTCCATTTGGTAATCTTAAGACCCATTGTAGCTTCAAATTTATGTTCCTCGTTAGCCATTTGATTTGTTCCACTTTGCTTGATTTTGGTGCCTTTGGAGAGGTTTTTGAGTTAACTATTAAATGAGACTAAGATCTTGTGAATCCAATATGAACTGGGGAAAATTATGGCCAATTTATTCAGTGTTATCAGTGGGTAACAGCATTGAAAATGGAAAATGGATTGGAAAATTCCTCTTCCAAAACACTATAAATATGTGCTTTTAAACTGGGTAATAGAAAAACTGATTATGAAAAAAGAAATTGAACCATATTTGAAGTGTCTCATCTTTCCTTCTCCCCTCTTCTTTTCTTCTAGAACGTGTGAATTGTGAATGCTTCTCTATCTCTTTCTATCTACTTACAAATCTAAATTACTTCTTTCTCTCTATCTCCTCTTATCAATATGCAGATCTAAATCTCAGATCTTGTATTAGTCCCTTGTATGTCATCTTTCCAAATCTGAAGGAAAACTTAGTTTTCTTTGTCAACTCTTCTAAGCCCACCTTTACCAACAGGGAAAACCCATGCTCATTGTTAATCAGAGAGCCCTCAAATAAAGAGAACCAAAATCACAAAGTATCCCCACCCAAGCACTGATCAAAAACATATAACAACCGAATCCACACTATTTACACCATTAAGTTCATTAAGAATCAAAACAGTCAGTTTTATCAAAGCAACAAGTAGTCATTAATTAGTCAACCAACTAGTCCTTTGAAGGCCCTAGTGCCCTACTAACTGAATCGCTAACCAGTCAGCCAATAGTCATCACCGAGCCTTTTTGACTGCTATCCAGTCACCTAGGAGAGTCTAGGACAACTGAACATCAATTAGATTCACTAGTTTGATTAGCAACTAGTCAAAGTGGTCAACCACAAAATTTTGTAAAGTTTATTTAATTATATTTATCTCTAAGTTTTTAAAATAATAATGGTTTATTTTGTTATATTCATGCTGTTGCTTTAAGTATCTGTGATGGCATATGGTTTATTGAGGATGTATAAATAGAAATAAGGCACAAGATAAAAGAAGAGTGTAGAGGAGTTATATTAAGTCTTCTTCCAACCAGTTTTTGTGAACCGAATTGAGAGCAAGAAGAAAACAGAATTAAGGGTATCAAGAATAGTTGACCCCCACCCCAAAGAGTCTCTTTTATATTAAAGAGATAAAAGATATGTACAATTACAAGAATGCCCTTACAGGGCTGAAAGATAAAAAGAACAAATAAAATAATAAGAATACGATATTGTACAAGGACTACTCTAATAATGTACATTGAGGTATATCTTCACACTCCCCCTCAAACTGATGCATAGATATCAGCATCAGTTTGCCCACAAGAATGAGGTGTCGACTTTTAGTCATGGACTTAGTGAAGATGTCGGCAATCTGCATGTGAGAGGCTACATGAGGAAGAGATATAGAGCCTGCAACAAGGTCTCTAATAAAGTGACAATCCACCTCGATATGTTTAGTCCTCTCATGAAAGACAGGATTAGATGCGATCTTGATAGCGCTAGTGTTGTCGACATACAAAGGGATAGGAGTAGGAAGAGGAGTACCAAGATCCATGAAAAGAGACTTCAGCCAAACAATCTTGCTACATGCAGAAGACATAGCTTTATACTCGGCTTCAGTAGAAGACTTAGATACAGTTTGTTGTTTCTTGCACTTCCAGGAAATGAGAGAGTCACACATGAAGACGCACCACCCAGTAGTGGATCGGCGAGTGTCAGGACAACCAACCCAATTGGCATCAACATAAACCCTCAATTGTATGGATGATGAGGAAGAGAAAACAGTCCCTGAGAGGTTGTCTCTAACATAACGGATGATGCGGTGAACAGTGTTTTAAAAGGCGTGGGAGGTGTACACCTGGAGGTGCCTCTAGGCGAGGCGCTCCCAAAACGCCTCGAGGTGCTTTTCTCATGAGGCATGCTAGAGGCATACGCCTCTTGCGCCTCATGCACATCTGATATGAAAATACAGAAAAAAAAAAGAAAAAAAAAAGAAAAGAAGGAAAGGAAAGGAAAAGAAAGGAAAGGAAAAGAAAAGAAAGGGAAAGAAAAGGAAAGGAAAGGAAAGAGAAGAAAAAAGAGAAAAGGAAAGAAAAGAAAAGGGAAGGGAAGAAAAGACAAGGGGAAAGAAAATGGTTTGCCCCTTGTCCCTTTAGCTGGGGGGCGAAGCCCCCCAGACCCCTTCGCTTCGACAAGACCCCCCCTTTGAACTACTGTTATGCATCTTTATTCTTCTTAATATAAAAGATTTTTATTTAAAATAAAGAAAAAATGAGAACCCCCCTTCCTTTTCATCCTCCCCATAACCCCCCTCGTCTTAAGGAGGCTTAGGCCCCTTGCATTCTGAATTACGCCTCACGCATCTAGGTAGTGGAACGCCTCCGCGTTTTAAAACACTGGTGGTRAATAGCAGTCATATTTGGTTGTCACGGGGTAGAAACAAATTGACCAATGACCTGAACAGCATGGGAAATATCAGGCCTTTGGATTTAGATAGCTTGACATTCAACTCCAGAGGGTACCAACATGTTTCTCATCAGTAATTCTAGCAAATTTAACGAGATCAAAGGCATATTTTTGTTAACAAATGAAATACCCTCGACTGCTACGATGAACCTCCAAACCCAAGTAAGAGGGCCCAGGTCCTTCATGTGAAATAAGTTATGAAGTAAGGACTTCAGCTCACAAATGCCCTCATGATCATCCCCAGTTAAAAGCATGTCATCAACATAAAATAGGAGGATAGTGATACCCTGGG